TCATTCCACATATAAAAATGAATAATACAGTTCGTTTTGATTGGTAACGTACTAAAACGTAACTATATCTATTTTCACATATGATTTTATAATCCCATGCTGCATTATGAGTTTGGTTTGTTTTCATAGGTCGTCTCTAGAGACTCTTAAATTTATTCGGGAGCTAGATGGATCATTCTTAATTACCCTACTTGAAATTGCTTTGTAGATGACATTCAATGTCTTACAAGTTTGATCTTGCGATTTCTTCCACCGTCAAATTTTGTTTATGAGTGAACATTTCAAATTCAAATTCAAGTTTACTAAAATTGTAACTCGAGCATTTCAAGTCTGATCCCGATGGTTCGGTTCAACTTGGATCGATTTGGTTAGTTGGTTTTCATTAAAACCATAACCGAATCTTTTATCCAAGTCTGTTTGGATTCTCTTTAAAATGTTCAACCCTAGTTTCATTACAATGTACTATTGAGCAATTAATTTTACATCTTAACTTATTCAATGATTCAACGTTTTTAATCAGAAAATCAGGATATAGGGTTTTAATACCGATCGAGTTACTTATTTCTTAGGTTCTTCTGCTTTCTTCTCCTCTTTCTTTTCCTCTTTCTTCTCTTCCTTCTTCTCTTCTTTCTTCTCTTCTTTTGCCGGTCCAACCGATATCAAATCGACTTTACCGACCTTCTTCAACTTCTTTACCACCGCAACCGCATCCATCATACCGATAATCGTTAATTTTTGCTCCTTCATATCCGCTGCTATCGAATCAACCCCTGTGTAACACAATAACCACCCCTTACATTATATCATCTTTGGAACACTTAAATCAGTTTTGTTATCTTACTAAATATCCCCATAATCGACAATTGCAGATATTATTATTAACACATCCATTTAAGCCCATAAAAATATGGGCCTCTAAACTACAAATAACCTCCTACTCTAAAGAAAAGAAAGAAAAAAATCAACTCGTTGAAAATATGTCAAAATTGAGAAGCTACAAAAATAATCCAAAGTCTCAAACTCTGACGCAATTATACAATCTAAAAATGGCAATTTATTGAGTGAAAAAATCCAGCACCAGACTTGTTTAATCTTTTCTTTGAGTTTAAACCTATAATGGATTAAAGTTACTAAGCAGTAAGCAGCACCAAATAATACCAAGAAAGAAAAAATCGAATTTCAATTGAAAGTATTATGGAAAAGAAGTTAAAACTGATAAGTAGTAATTACCGAAGATATCAGCTGCAGCTTCTATGGCTTTCTGCTTGGTCTTATCATCAGTCATGGTTAAAACCTTCAACACCACTTTCTAAAAAATATAAAAAAATAAAGTAAAAACGATTTAGTATAAAGAGATAAATCATATTCTTCAATAATATAATTAAATGAGCAAAAAATAAAAACCTGAGCCATTTCGTCTGGGATCTTGGACGAAAAAGCTAGAGATGAATCGAGAAATGAAGTTTGATGTTTTTTTTTTTGTTTATATGGAAAATAAATAATTTTGTGGGGGAATAAAAAGGAGAGAAATTGGATATTTGATTGATCATTGACAAAAAAAATTGTGGCGGCTTTTGGTAAAGGGACAGACATTGTGACGTATGTTTCAACGTAATGGACAGCTCTGCAATATTCTTTACCACGCCTGCTTTTCTTAAAGTTGCTTTGTTTTTGTCTTTATTAATAATTTTTATAAAGTTTGTACTAGATGAGATGACAATTTGTGCAAAATAATTAAGAAAACAACAAGTTAAAATCTAGCTTTGCAGCCATCAAGTAGTATTTTCGTATGCGTTAAACAAAATTAATTTTCCTTCGCACAGGGGTCTAAAACGGACGGTTTTACTTACATCATCCAAATCATTTTTATTACAGTCAACTTTACTTACATAATACAAAGCTACTAACAGATGAAGGAATTTTCGATAAATTTTACATTTAGGTGT